AGCAAAATGGTTTTTACTACGGCTGCATCGCTCTTCAGAGCGAATAAAAGGAGGGGGAAACCCATACCCGTATCCCTGCCTCAAGTCGCCATGCTTCGCCTAGCTCTCCTTTTCAGTTTTGCCGCTATCTCGTTGGTAAGTTGCTCATGAAAACGGAAAGCTCTCGTGGGCTGATCATCCAATAGAGGTGTCGAAACGTCGTTAATCAAGGCATGCGCTCCAACGACTACTACGACTACGACGACATCTACGACAACCACTACGAGTAAACAAAAGCGTGCAGTTGGTCAAGCACAAGTTACTTTGCTAACCCATCAAGACTTTGATGCTAACATGATTCCTGCTTACTTGAAGGTCGTCAGATCTGCGGTGAGTAATTGAGTATTGAGAGGTACCTAGGTGATGCGGCTACGGAATTACTTGTTGTTTTGCTGAACGTCGCAATGATTCAGATTGAACAGCATGCAAAAAACCAAAATATCTTCTACAACCGGGACCTGGTGGACGAGAAGACTGAGAACATCAATGGAAAATTCGGTGTCGTCTACACCATCCTCGGTGTGGACTGTGATAAGGTGGGTACCTATCTTAGCTATCTCACTGTTATGCAGTTTTTATTAGAACAAATGTCGATCCGCGCACGATTCCAAAGCGCTTAGAGTAGCGAACCGGATGGAGCACAGCTAAAGAAATCTCTGTCGNCTGCTTACTTGAAGGTCGTCAGATCTGCGGTAAGTAATCGGGTATTGAGAGGTACCTAGGTGATGCGGCTACGGAACTACTTGTTGTTCTGTTGAACGTCGCAATGATTCAGATTGAACAGCATGCAAAAAACCAAAATATCTTCTACAACCGGGACCTGGTGGACGAGAAGACTGAGAACATCAATGGAAAATTCGGTGTCGTCTACACCATCCTCGGTGTGGACTGTGATAAGGTGGAACCTATCTTAGCTGTCTCACTGTTATGCAATTTTTATTTGAACAAATGTCGATCCGCGCACGATTCCAAAGCGCTTAGAGTAGCGAACCGGATGAAGCACAGCTAAAGAAATCTCTGTCGGTACTTAGGTTTGCAGTTAGCCCTCGTTGGAGAGGGAGTACTTTGGGCTGTAAAAGCTGTAATGATGTCGGGATCATAATCTAAGAAACCCGAAGAAAATGTGCGATTCAGTGGAGAGCCCGCGGTTTATATTCGTTAAAGTTTTCTAGAACTCACCGAAAAAACCATGTAACTCAAGAGAAAAAGAAACCGGAGAAGCAGATTTTTTTAGGGATTACCTGAGCAGTCACAAATTCCATCACCATGAATGGTATCTCCCATTATAATGATACAGGTATCTATGGATATCATTTTTCAGCTGACTAACTTCATCACGTCTGCAAAAGGGCTATCGGCATTCACAAAAGAAATCGCAATTAATTGTGGAGGCAAAACAACAGTTCTGCCACTTCAAGATTGAGAAAATTCACCAAAATAAATGTTCATCAGTACCAGTGTCAGGTTCTTACAGTACCAAAGCATCAATTTTCAAGTAGGTATTGAGGCTCCAAGAAGTGACTGCCAAGAACTTCATTGAAAGGTCCCCAGAAGAGCCGCAAGGTGTGCCAGGGATGATGAGAATGTTAAGATTCGTTTGAACTCCTTGGAAATTTTGAGTTTTCCAACGCGTGCACGCGCTTTGCTGTTATTTATATTTGACAGTAGAGCACTGTGGGTGGAAGCATTTGCGAACAAATGCCACTAGGTTCCAGTCTTTTCTCCCTTTCAATTCTGGGCGATGAATTTCCGAGCTACTCTTCCCAGTACAACCCCTTGACCGACGAAACCTGGGATGCAAGAGTAAGATTTAGCTAAATTAGGGAGAATTTATTAATATATGACTAAAAACTATGTCCTGAACCTGACTAAGTATTTAACACTCTCTGAACGAGAGGAAGGGAGGGTTTTGCCACCACAGCAAGGTGAAACAACGATTCGGAATCACTGTGTGGGAGCATTATCAGAGAAGATCCTGGGAACGTTAAACACTGCGACGACGCCGCTTTCATGAGGGTATGATTGCTTAGTGACGATTCATGGAAAAGGGTACAACAATGGGCGAGTGAGGAGTAACGAAGAGTGACGCCTCTATCATCTTCACGTTCCCCATCTCTTCCGTCAATCATCTTCACGTCCATTCTATTTGTCAAGGACTAACGCAGAGGACTCCAAGCCTTCATTGGGCCTTACCACCATCATTTCCATTACCGGCTTCCCTCGTATAGAAACCATCATTCGCTGCTATCAGAAACAATTTTCAAAGGAGATACAATGATGATATAGGAGAGAGAAAGAGACATGGAGTAGTAGAGATTCACCAACAAATGCCTACACGCCTAAAGCAACAATCTGTAATCTCCAAAAGAAGGATAAAATCTTGCCTGTGACTTGGCTGAAATCCAAGAGTAAGAACAATAGACACACAAAGGTGCTGGAATATATGGTATGACGATTAACAAATATAAATGTAAAGATAAAAATACTAATACACCAAACAAAAGGTACTGTACACAACTTTTCCCCACCCCAAAACTACGACTGGGCAGCTGTTTAGTTCAAATATCACCCAGATCGGCAACAGAGAAGGATTAAAAGGAAGCATAAAGAAAAAAAGAGAAGGGAAAGGAAAAAAAACGAAGGAATTACGGTCTGTCGTTTGATCACGAAGAGATGCATTGAAAAAAGTTACTACATTTGTATCCAACTACAAACTGTTCAAAAAATCGGAGATGAAAATAAAAAGAAAATAATATAAGTAATTAAAGAGACACACAATGATCCCTAGGTTGGACTAAATGGAAATATTCAGCATCTGGTAGTCAAAGTAAATGTAGAAAGAGATCGGAGGAAGCTGAATGTGTGATAGTATGACCCTCTTGAGGAAAAGTTTTTGTAAATAGATGCCAGCTCGATGCATACTCCCTGTGACACACGAATTAGCGTTCCAAGCGCAACGGCAGTTAAGCTCCCATGGTCCTTTTACGGCGGGCTCGGACGGGCGAATAATCGGCTTCAATTGAGCTGAGTGGACCCTACGCAAGCATCGATTTCGAGTATCTTTCCCCGACCAAAAATGAAGTTCCGCAATGGGAAATGATTTGGACAATTGGCCAACCAGTCACTCCACGGAAATGACCATTCGGCGAATGGTCGTGGAATGTGGAGCTCAGTACTCTCCGAAGAGTTTCGAATTGCTTCGTTTCCAGGCCAAAGTCTTATGTAGAACCTACTGCTAGTTCCATCTTATGGATCGATAAGAATTCGAAAAATCTATTCAGTTATCCCATATTGTATAATGTATCGAATTACCGGAAAACAGCCACATTAAGTTGAAGCACGTCCTTTCCAAAATTGGGAAAACCTTGCTACTTTCTGCTCGCTGACTCAAGTATTCGAGAAGGTTCTGGTGTTGTGATCACAGTCATTCTTTCACACATGAGCATAAAAGCAGATAAAAATATTGACGGATCATCAGTAGATTTAGAAAAAGTAGAAGTATGCCTAGTTTCTATCGAAAGCTGAGTTCACAGAGCCGTTCCTGGGCCTAGTATGCATGAATTCCTCTACTAGTCCTTCAGTCAAATAGCGACGGGAAATTTGTTATTAAGAAAAGTGACCAATTTCCCCCAATCCAAGCAATGTGGAGTCTGATTGCATGACCAATGATAAGTTCACATCAAGTCTGCCCATCCTATCCCATCAACCCCTTATGCGCCACCTTCCTTGGATCCATGATCAATAATGATTCCTATGTATATAATCACTTACAGTAAGTAGTACATTCATACTTCACTCAAATTCCCTGGAAGCCCACATTGGCAAAGACTTTTGGCGCCAATCAATCCCGTCTTAGTACACGCCCCGCATTCGACTTCCATCAGAATCGTATTGACATTTGAAGCTTAAGTGGCCTACATAATGAACGACATACGGTGGCCAGTCAATGCACAACTACTAAGAGCTTCCATACCCTTAGACAAACCCTACACGCCTTGCTGGCCTACACGGATATGTGGCCTATCGATCCATGATTCGAACTCGTAACCATGAGTATGTGATGGTGGGCCATTTGTCATTACATCACAATCACAATTTGTTCATATACTCTACGAAAAGATTAAGGCTTTGCAAAATGAACGCGTGAAGGGTCTTCTGCGAATGCATCCCGGAAATATTCTCTGGTTTCAAAACCTAAAGAAACTCCGGAAGCGAACGAGCAGTTGCGGACTTCTGATTTGCAGAAAAAAGTTTTGGCAGTAGTATGTTCGTTTGCTGCTGCGAACGGCGCTCGTTTTCCGGGGGCGCTGGAGAGACACGAAACAGGAACTGAATGGAGGGCGCTTCTCAGCGGCATAGCTGCCTTCAATTCCCGTTTTATTCGTTTACGGGTGTCCAAATCAGGGTTCCCAGCTCTTCACCGATACAAATAAGTATTTAACCTAGGACTGATTATTTCAAGCTTTCCTCCATCAGTAACGGTATCCAGAGGCTCAGATGCGAAAATGTCAGGTGGTGCCGCTATCATACTGCTACTATTGCCCAGGTCAACAATAGCTTCGACGAATAAGACATCCAGCCTTCCGGGTCATAATAGTGTTAGACTTGGTGGGAAGGATCGAGGCACTTATTTTTACACCCGTTAATCCCCAAAATCCACTATACAGACATTGTACGGGCCTAAAATGCACTCAAACGGCTCTATGATTTTGACGGTTGTGAGAGCCCGGGCTTAAACCGAGTTGATCAACACTAAGAATCCTCTATTCTTTATTTAGTAATCCTTGAAAAGCTAGGCTAGTAGACAATTTTTCCTTTCAGAGTGTCCTTGATAAACTTGTAGAAGAGTGGGTTGTATAGTGGATTCGAATAACCAGTAGTAATAACAAATGATTAATTATTAGGTCGAGGTGGTGTTGTTGCAAGTAGCGCACTATCACATACTCATAGCCACGGGTTCGATACCCGGACTGATATCCGCCTAAGCCAGCCAAGCCTTCCATCCCTCCGGAGTCGATTTTATTTGAACCAGAGTCGTCTGGGAAGGTGAAAGCATTGACTGCACATCGGCTGGTCACTGCAATTCATTGCATAGGCTACACACACATTCAAATCGCCACTACCATTCTGAATGGGTCCCAAATACGGGGCGCATTCAGGATGGTAGTGACGATTTGAATGCGGACTGATCAAAACCAGAAACTTCAGCTTTTGATATTCTAGAGGGCAGTAGTGGGTCTCAAAGGAGAATAGATAAAGGTAGCACCGGCTGGTGTGTAATGTTCAACAAATAGGAATATGTTACCCACTTATCCCTATCGGAAACGCTTCGTGAACCATAAATATATCTTTTTAATGCATATTAATCTCCTATAATAAAATACGGGGAAAGGGGCATTTGCATTTGCGTGGGCACGAATCAGCGGGTAAGTCATCTGTCGACGTCACATTTCCCTAACGTCCATTGAGCATCTCTAATGATGTTCGCTATAATAGCTTTGGACTATTGACGACACTAATAACACATAAAATACTGCGACTTCAAATTCTAGACCGAGAACAAAAACAATGCTTGATAAGGAAATAATAGGAGATATGTGGCGGAGTGCCAAGTGGCGCACTAACACACATGAGTCCGGAGATCGAATCCCGTTAAACACTCGTCATTCCCTTGAGATGGATTGCTTCACTGAGCAGTTCCTCTTCAACAGACCCTAACGCAAGGAAAGGAAGGCTCAGTTCGAGGGTATTCGTCAACGAAAAGTCGAAAGCTCATGCTGAGTGCAAATGAAATGGCAGAACCCTGATTGAAGTGCCACGAGCAGGACTTTTCGAGATGAAGCCCTTGATGGCAAATGATCCGATCATTGGAACACTTCTTTGTAAAGTAATGTAATTTACGGTAACATCTGTTCATAGAGAATTGTACAGGTTGTGTGCTGGTTTCCTTTCGGATGCCTCCTCCTTCATTTGAACAATGCCCTCTCGTTTTCACCGATTAATCGCACACACCCTTTCCGTCCACTCCACAAACAAGACAGTTTTCTCTTAGCGTCCAGAATCGCTCGCTTGCTCATCCTTGATAAACGGTATCGGATGAATCCCAGAATTCAAAAATCGTCCATCTAATACCGTTGCTCGAGATCAGATCTAGTTTTCGAATAATTTCTTTGGCTACATAGAAGAGTGCATTGCCCTTGTCGATGACGGGAAGACCTTTTATAGGGTGGAGTGGCCTGCAGGGCTTGCAGAGTAGACAGGACTTATAAAGAGATTGTGAACTAATTAATTAAACGAGTTCTTCAGCTCTATGAATCTTTCTCAACGTAATCCCTCTACAGTTCCTTACAAGTCCAAAGAATCATCAAACAAGACCAGGTCCGAAATGCAACACTACTAATTTCGGCGGAGCCACTGTTCGGG